ACGAAAGATAAAAATCATTTGTGGTTTAGCGTACATCATTGGTTTTCTTATGGCAGTTGAAGTAGCAACTCAACCGTGCATTTTAGGTCCTGAAGGTCGTTATTACATTTATACGTTGCTTGCTTTTTACGCCTGTTTCTACATAATCCCAGTAATGTTCATGACTGTGGTTTACTCCATAATCGCTCGAGCATTGATCAAACAAAAAAAAGCACTAAAAGCATTCTCCAATGTCACACAGTCTCATCTACAATCCAACTCAAGTCTTCAAAGACACACTCAGAATCGTAAAACATTTTTCGTTTGCATCAGCACGGTTTTCTGCTTTGCATTGGGTCATATTTATTTCACGACAGCTCGGTTGGACATGTTTTATTCTGCAGAAACTAACTTCTTAAATCTATCAGTTGCTTATTGTTTTAGAGTTCTCGGCTCGCACGCCGTCAATCCATTAATCTATGGAGTATTAGACAGGAAAGTGTTGTGTTTTTGGAAGCGCTGCACAGGAAGACAAATTTAAGCTAATTTAGATCGAAAATCGTTTGCTTTTGAATCACTGGCATGTGTTTCCTGTTCTATAGATAGTTTTGGTGTTGTAACCGTATAATATTTTTACCATCTATCTTAATCAAAAAAGTCAAGTTAAACCTCCTTTCTCAACTGACATTGGGTAGACATCACATAAAATTGGTATCCATAAAGTGTAATTTCATGAACGACTTTTGTTCTTCAGGATTATTTAGGTATAATTAGGATAAACTAACAGGCTTAGATTTGTGATCACTACCAGAACAGATTTCTCTACAGTTTTTCTATTTTCATTAAAAACTTGCCCTCGTGCTTTAATCAAAAGACAAACAGCTGTTTTTTAAACCCTCAAGATATATTTGACACCAGTGCTCATATATGTAAATATGTAAAATAATCCCTTATTCATTAAGTATATTGTCTCCAAGTTTGTAATCTTTGAGTGTAGTTTACTTAAGCACATAAAAATAGATTATATTGTTGTAAAATTTTATAATATAGCTGATGACGCTGAAAAACATTTACACTGACTAAAACACTTAATGAAAGCTTATTATAGGCATCTACTATAAACTGTTTTACTTTACAATCTTGGCCGTACAAGCATTGAATTTCTCATATGTGGAATATTCCACAAACAACTGTGGATCTTATAAAGATTCAAATTAGTTAAAAAAAGAGAAAAATCTAGAAATTACCATACTTGGTATGTTGTTTTGAAAATGATAACATGTTTTTTGCTTTTAATTGTTGCAAAAAATTTCTAGTACCTTGCTATCAGCAAGCATTTAATCAACGGGAATTGATGATAACTTATGGTAATTTTCTGAAATTTTCTCAATTCAGTGAAATAAGTTATTTGAAAAGACTCTAATATGGTTTTGTGTCAAATAAAATGACCAACTTAAATAATTTTTATGTGTTTTATCAAAGAAAACGTGCCTATTCACACAACTCTAGTGCTACGCTAGCTATATTGTTTTTTATATTTACTGAAAAAGAAATTATTGAGCAGGTTAAGTATTTTTACAACGTGTTTCTGATTGGTCTCTTTCAATTCACATATACATATTAGGAATGTTTAGTTGGTCAGCCATACGTCAATCTTATCGTTTTGGAAGCTTATTGCTTTCCCAATGCATTGCCGCAATGTATGTTTATTTGGTATTGTTGGAAATACCTTCATTCAATCGAGGAAAGATAAAATATTTTGTGGTTTAGCGTACATCAATGGTTTTGTAACGACATTTGGAATGACAATTCGAGTGTTTATTGTAGATCTTTGAGGTCCATATCTTCTTTAAAAATTCTTTATTTACTTTTTGTCGCTTCTCTGCTTCGCAGTGAGTCATAGCGGCATGGCAGCTTGCAGCAGCCAGCTTATGCACTGATGTTGATAGCACTCCTTCATTTAGCATTATTATTTTTGGATACATTTCTTTAGTCATCTGCGCAGTTTCAAGTAATAACTTTGCCCTTTTGTCCTAGAAAGTTACAAGTTGCGTTCTTTTCATTTGAGAAAAGAGAAAAAATATGAAGAACTAAAAAGATGGTGTAATGTAAGTTTTAAAATTTAAAGCCTTTCATAAATAAAACAAGTTCTCCCCGGCAATGCTTTTTTTAGACGTTAGTGATAAATTTCAATTCTTTTTTTTCAGATTTGTCATTTCCATAGCGTATTGTACTTCAATGTACTTTGAACCAATCATAAAGCTTGATAAAAAATCAAACTTTATACCCAGACAAATTAAAGGATGACCAGAGTTACATTGACGGCAAATATTACCAGTGAATTTTTCTTTATTTACCATGGCCTAATGTACAGGGTGTAAGAAAATGAGGCCTTTAGAAACTGACGTATCGTGACTATTCCAATGTCTATGTCTATGATACGTCAACAAGTGCATAAAGTGTTGTCAGTCACTAGCAAATATAAGAGATCTTGTTTTGGGTGGGGACCGGTTAGGTTACGAAGTCGGGGTGTGCAATGACAACGAACCCATACGTGCAAGACAGGTAAAAAATAGATCTTTGTCCCTACCACTATAAGGTTTATCTGAGCTTATGTACCAGTGGGGTTATTATAGTATTAACATGGTTGCCTAGGGATCTTTTGTTATCACAGTGACGTTTATTGACTTATTTCCCTCATCAATATATTCATTAGAGACAATTAGACTAGATATCCCTCATCAATAAAACAATACGCTATATTGTTTTCAATTTATGTCGTTGAGTGGTAACAAAAATCGTCCTACCCTCCCGTCAGAAAGTTTCTTGTCTCTAACTAGGGAAAAACAGTGATGAACCATCAATAACTTTGACAATAATTAAAAGACAAAATGTATTTGCGAAGCAAATTCATACACAGGTTCATTGAACCAATTCAAAAACACGACTCACAAATAAATATCTAGATGAATTTCTTTATTCCATCACTGACCGTGAGAAATGTAAGCTTCAAACACCATCAATCGCTGTCAATTTAAAAAAAGTGAGCTCGAATTCTCATAAAATTATTGTCAAACGGAAGAGTCTAATGCATTGTTTATTCCTTTCGCAACCATATTATTACATAGTAAACCCATGTTTTAAGGGATAATTTAATGTTCCCTTAAGCATCGAGATGTTTCCGGGACATTTAATCACTAATATGCTTGAAAGCTATAGTAATAACATGGCTGCCTTGGGATCTTTTGTTATCACAAGGACGTTTACTGACGTATTTACCTCAATTATAGAGATAGGGATAATTACTTCTAAACATCCCTCATCAATATATTCATTAGGGAAGTTTAGACTAAATTTATAGTGCCTCACACTTTGTGTCGTTGAGTGGTAACAAAATTCGTCTTTCCCTCGCATGAGAAGCTTTCTTGGCACTAACTTGATTAAACCAGTGATGTTTCCAGAATAATTAAAAGACAAAATGTATTTGCGAAGCAAATTCATACACAGGTTCACTGAACCAATTTAAAAACAGAATTCACATTTAAATATCTAGATGAATTTCTCTATTTCGAGACGTTTGCTGAAAGCTATAATAATAACATGGCTACCTTGGGATCTTTTGTTATCACAGGGACGTTTACTGACGTATTTCCCTCAATTATAGAGATAGGGATAATTAGTTCTAAATATTCCTTATCAATATATTGATTAGGGACGTTTAGACTAAATTTATAGTGCCTCACAGTTTTTGCCGTTGAGTGGTAACAGAAATCACCTTCCCTCGCGTCCTAAACATTCTTGCCACTGACTTGGGAAAACCAGTGATGAATCATCAATAACTTCCACAATAATCAAAAGACAAAATGTATTTGCAAAGCAAATTCATACATAGGTTTATTGAAACAATTCAAAAACAGAATTCACAATTAAATACCAAGATGAATTTCTTAATTCCATCACTTACCACGACCAATATATGATTTAAACATAATCAATGGTTGTCAATATTTTAATAAGTTAGCGCAAATTTGATAACATTATTGTCAAATGGAAAAGTCGAATGCATTGATGTTATTACAAAGTAAACGCATGCTTTCAGGGATAGTAGTGATTAATTTTCCCTTTAAGCCTCGAGAGGTTTTTTACTAAACCTAACTCGGTTCGCAGGACATTTAGTCACTAATATCCCTGAAAGCTTGCATTAATTTACTTATAATAATCCGGTGTTGAAATGTCAAAAAAGCGACTAGCTTGTTATTGATTACCAATGGTGGCGAAATGGCTTCTAAACCAGAAAAATACAAGAACATTATGCCATTGCGAAAATAAAGTTGAACTCAAACAAAAAATATAGCATAAATAACAATTGTGCAAACGTGAAACTCAACAGTAGAATCTTAACGGGGACATATACACATGAAATTGTTTGTAGGGATCAAGATGTTCATACGTAAGTAATATATTCTCATTAGTGATTCTTAATTTATCAGAGCTTCGTTATCATGTAATTGTACTTTGTAAAACTTTCCATCAGTGAAAGAAAATACCATTACATGTGGGTGATATTAGTTTGGAATATTGACCGCCAACAACTCATCCGTATATCACCTTTAGGTTAAAACTACTCTCAGATAATTATTCATACAAGGGCCATCTACTTCTTTCAAGCCTCTATTGCTCATAATTTAAAACTTTCTATCTACAGACTCTATCTACACTAACGAAAGAATGCCTTGGAATGGCTTGCCGTTCATTATTACCAAACAATTCAAAAATTTTTTGGAGAAATTTCGTATAGTTAAAAAGCTTTCATTAAAATGAATGAAAAATTGAATTCGTTTCTCGAATAGAGAAACTGTATCGCCTTCACTCTAATTTTCCTTTAGTAAATTGTTTCTAGTTAATTGTAGATAGGAAAATTTGTTGCCAGCAATTGGGCCGTGTCAATGGGTAAACACAAAGGTAGACTTGAATGTAAATATAAAGATAGACATAAAGGTAGACTTAAAGGTAGATAAAAAGGTAGACATAAAGGTAGACATAAAGGTAGAGATAAAGGTAGACAAAAAGGTAGACATAAAAGTAGACATAAAGTTAGACACAAAGATAGACACAAAGGTAGACATAAATGTAGACATAAAAATGGACATTAAGGTAAACACAGAGCTAGACATTAAAGTAGACACAAAATTAGACATTAAGATAGACATAAAGATAGACATAAAGATAGACATAAAGGTGGACATAAAGGTAGAGGTAGACATAAACACAAAGTTAGACATAAAGCTAGACCCAAAGGTAGACAAAAAGGTAAACATAACGATGGACATTAAACTAGACACAAAGGTAGACAGAGATAGACATAAAGGTAAGCAAAACGGTATAAAAAAGTTAGACATAAGTATAGACACAAAAGTAGTTAAAAGATAGACATAATTGTAGACATGAAGGTAGACACAAAAGAAACGCTTGCAGAAAGAAGTTTAGATGAAAAACCTTTTCCATGGCGATTTGATGTGGAAGAACAAGTAACGGATGACTGGAAATGATTCGTAACGAAGATTGCACACAACTTATGAAAATTCAAAGCAGAATTACAACAAGAAATATCCTTTAACAGTGAATAAATTGTACCATATATCTTGTTATTTAATGGCTATGATATTTAGATAAAAACATCACATTGGATGCAAGTGTAACGCAAAAGACAAGATATTGTAGAACGCCTTCACGAGTAAATACAATCCTTCCTTATGACAGCTAATTTCTCTTCACAGGAATTACAGATGAATTTGGCAGAGTCTTCAAATATACTGCCAGGATGAAAATATATAAACCTATGGTTGATATGCTGTATGTGTGATAAACAATGTTATTGAAATGGAGAGTACATAAAATATGAAATACAACCATAAGGAACACACCGCAAAATGTGAACAAAGTTCAAAGAAGCTATCAGCTAGCTTGTTGGTTTAAAGAATGAATCATGAACGGGAAGCCAGAAATAAGTTATCCTTATATTTAACAACAAGAAGTGGAATTGGATTAATTAAAATGACATTGAAAAGGCAGCTGAAAGAAATCTTCATTGTAAGATTGTATGAAAGCGTGCTGATAATGAAAGATTTGTACAGACAAACTTGTCTCCATGTCTTTCGATACAACTTATCATGGGCTAGTGAATTTATTTGTAATGCTGATGTATATATGACCAATTTTATTACTGTTTTTTTCGAGAATGGAATGCGACACTTAGTATAATTTCAGAAAAAACTCGCTCTCCGATGAGGAAGAAGGAGGAGAGCGAAGGAGAAAAAGATAAGAATCCATGCAAAACACCACTCTTAAAAAAGCTAAGTCTTTTGATCAAATTTTTTTATGACTCCCTGTGATCAGGGAATTATTTTTCTTAAATTTGAAAAGTCAGGAAACTTAGGAATAAACAAAACGCCCTAATATTCCCCTTCTTACCTCCAGGCACTCGTTCCTCAATTCGACTTTCTGTCGTCCACATCAGCCTCGTACACCTAAGTGTGTCAGCAGAGGGGCGAACCAAGGGTCTTGTGCACAGGAGGTCAGTGATGGTCAGTCAAGCCGAGTGCTCAACATCAAAAGCTATCAGTTTTTTGTTGTATTTACCTATTTTTTTATTAGTTTAAGGGAAAGAAAACGAGTCAGTCTTGAACCCGAGGCGGTGCAATACATACACCATAACATTCAGTATTCTACATATTTTTACTCGAAAATGAGAAATAAAAAGACAAGATTAGAACCCGAGATGTGTTATCACCAGATGGCATTGCCTGACATTGTGTATACTATATTCATCTTTGTCTTTGCTGTTGGTAAAACATAAAGTGTCTAACAAAGTTAACTTTTGATAGCGACGCGAAGCAAAGTTCTTTCTTCATTATTGCAACGAGGGCGACAAAGCAAAAGTGAAAGGTACTATTGATGGGGAGCCTGTGGTATGATTCGGAAGACAATAAATGATGTTTTTTCACATACAGTTGTCATGTCACTCGCCTGCGTGGCTGAGTGGTACAGTTAGCCGTGCTGTGATCTCACATTTCGGGTTCAAATCTTGTCTTTTTATTTCTCAATTTTCGAGTTAAAACATGTTGAATATTTAATTGTACATTTAGGATTGCACGTTCTTGGGTTCAAGACCAACTCGTTTTGTTTTCCTTCAAACTAAAAAAAGAAGTACGAGGCGGATGTGGACGACAGAAAGTCGAACTGATGAACGAGTGCCTGGAGGTAAGAAGGACTTGAGTTTCCTGACTTTTCAAAATTTAAAAAATTAACTCTCTATGATCGTAGTGAATCTTGAAAAATTTTGAACAATTAAGATTTTAAGATTTTTTCGAGAATTTTGAACAATTTGAGTTTTAAGAGTGGTTTTTGCATGGGTTACTATAATTTTTTTTCGCTCTCCTCCTTCCTCATTGGATAGTGAGTTTAATATGAAATTATACAAGTGTCACGTTCCATTTTTTGAATAACACAGCAAGAGAATTCTACTTTCGTACTATTAACCTGCACTATTTTCCCGTTTCTTAGATCATCCTACAGCCTAACAACACCTTACTCAGACGGGGTTTTAACCTCAACTTTGCAACCTTGAAAAGATAGAAGAAAATAAAAAAACGGTATAATACTGCAGAAAATAGATAAAGTTTAACAAATTCAAGTAATTTGAGATACAAAAATCTAGCCGTATTCATGCAATAGTGTACTCCGTGCATAATGTTGAAAATTGTAAAAACAGTTCAATTCTGATTTTAAGCATTTTTGCTTTTAGAAATTTAAGAATTGCACTAATAAAATTCATCATTAAACATAGATAATAAGTTCATGTTACCATCGTGAAACTTTAATATACTCAAACAATAAATTGTTAAACGTGTTGGAGATGATCATGTACATTGATAACATTTTTAAAAGTAATCTCTTTTCTGTCAAATGTATCATTGGACTGTTTACATGATTCCGGCTAACCGAGTTTTAGTGAGGCGTGAAATGATTTCGAGATATTGAAAGGAGTCAAAACTTCAAGCGTAAAAATTAAAACTGTTTATTAAGCGCCACAAGTTATTTTTTGTTGTAATTCTCAAATTAGGCCAAATTACTTGTTGTAATTTTAAATGTTTTGTGTAGTTATCAAACCAGAATATTGTAAAATTGCCAGAGAAGATTTATCTGATGATGAGTATTGAATCATTTCCATTTGCAAAAATCGTTTATCGCTTGACTGAATCTCGGCTACCCAGCTCATGTAATCAGCCCCATAGGTAAAGAAATTATTCAATATATGACAGAAGTTTATGTAGCAATTGGACGTTTAATAACAATCCTACGGATTTAGAATGAAATACGTAGCAAAAAAACATGCAATTAACATTTGCTTTAATTTTTTGATAAACATAAATTTTCAATAGTAGCAATCATCGCGTGTGCTCTAGAAATGCATGGGAATCTTTAGTCCTGACATAAATGGAATGTTTGATGCAAGCAAAAAAATGAAGAGGAAACAATCGTAAGGATTTGGTGTTCAGAATAAGAATAAGAAAGGACAGATATTGGTAAATGGTTGCCGATATAGTGAATACACTATATAGTGCTGTTTTCATGCCGATGTAGTGTTGTAAATGGTTTTCAGGGTCGTCACTCAACTATTCTTGATAGCAGTAATGTGTTTTCATGCTTTTAAGTGAAATAGTTATAAACCTGAGAAGGACTGTTTTTGTTGATGTTGAAGGACGTTTCGACAACGTTAGGGGTAGTCATCTTCAGTGACAAAATCAGAGTCCAGCGGTAGTCATTTGACTCTGAAGATGACTACCGCTAAGGTTGTCGAAACGTCATTCAACATCAACAAAAACAGTCCTTCTCAGGACTTTACCAACCTGGACGATCTACATTTACAAACATGTGACGATACTCCCTGGTTCAAACGATTTACTTTATAGTTATAAGCCAACGGTCAAGACTGACAAATTTGAAAAGCAATGTAGACATGTGCTGCTTGCGTGACAATTTTTAAGAGAATACTTGTAAGGAATAAGACTTACAATTTACATCATCCGAGTTTGGTATAATGAGTCATGCAACATGACTAATTTTTCATTTTTTTTGTTACTGTTAATTGTATGTGTTGTGAAAACGGCATAAAAATTTTAAAATGCGTTAAAGGTCATTGATGTTTAGTTACGTAATTACACATTATGAGCTATTATGTATTTCAATTGATCATTTCAAAGACAATTTCCTGCACAATAGCAATTTATACCAACATATATATAAACTGTAGATGTAGCAGATAAATATATTTGTTGTGCAGTTTGGCATTGCTGGAAATACTTTTGTGATCGCTTCAATATTGAAAGAAGATTCTGTTAAAGAACTTGCTTCACCTCAATAGTTACACATCTAAGATTCACGGGACTGGGTTCTAAATCCTTGGTGAAAACATTCTATAAATGGAAAATCTACAAATGTTTTCGAATGCATTTTAAACTTGAGAGCACGCTTATTGAGTAAACTCTAATGCATAGGCGTAAGCGAAGGAGGGCAGGGTGGCAGCTGCTATCCTAAAGACAGTTTGAATATTAAAAAGTTGGACAGATTTTAAACGTTAGGTGGGGGAAATAAAGCCGATCCTATATTGTTAAAATTATTCACAGCTGCTCCAGAATGATAGTTCCGGTACGCCTATGCTCTGATGGCTGTATATTAGTTTTTTGTTTGATTCAATTCCAATTTGATTTGAATTCAAATTGGCCTAAGCAGCCATGTTAATAGGTTGCTCCAAAAGGCATCTGCGTTACACAGCACAATTCAACACAAACCCTTTTTGCTACATGCGATTGCCTATCAATATGGCAACCAGTGGAAATCGACGGTGAAAACACTACCGAAAATGGCAACTTCAAAATTACTTTTGTATTCGTTTCACTCAAGAGAACGCACGTATTGACACAGCTGTAATAGCTGTATTAGTTTTTCTGCTTATTCATTGAATATATTAACACAGTTTTCGCTTTTAAGGTTTTTAATTGGTTAAGTTTGAAGTACGTTTTTACCACCAAACAATAATATATATTGCAGAAGTAAAAAGCGAATACTACTGACTGTTATTTAAAATTGAAAACACACAGGTCTTTATTGCATTTTAAATTAAAAAAACAGAAAAAGGGCCACTCTAGAATATTTGCAGATAATATACCATATCATATTTAATGGCAGCATTTGTATTTTGCATGTTAATATATGTATTTGGCATTGTTGGAAATACTCTTGTGATCACTTTTCTAGTCTTACTAGGCAGACACGCGTGTCTGGAGGTCAAATTTGGCTTCAAAAAATTAT